TACGTTAGCTGGCGCCATACTGCTTGATGTGTAACCATGGTTACCAAAAGGTCATACGAAACTGATAAAATTTGCTAGATATCTACATAGTCCTTGGTATCCATCCCGCAACTAAAATATCAAACCTGTCCAGCAAGAAAAAAAGCCAGCTCCGGGTCACTCTTAAATCCCTTGAGATCTCGGAACTGTCGCCACCGCTCGAACGCTCTGCCGATATTGATTCTAGTTTTGCTGTGAACTCTATTGCTTTCCCGTTTCGCTAGCAGGTTCTGTGCGGTCCGAGGCGAAGGTTTCAGTTTAGAGCGATCCATAATCCGTGATGACTAGCTGACTGTTTCTAAAATTACCTTCATTTATTGTAACCGCTAATCTCCTAACACAATCATTCGCGCCAGACTTTGTGTTGCCGGACGTGACGTAAACGCGCGGTTTCCTACCAAATCTGAGCCGCCACACTTAAACAAACCCCCATTCACTACAGCAAGCCTATAATGTTGTTTTAGTCAGTAAGTATATTTTAATGTACTCTCTTTAGTAATCAAGCTCACTTCTATCAAATCGCAATCATTTAATCGAGTAGCTTTAAAGAGTTTAATAGTTCTCTCGCTCTTTGTGCTTCAAGCACGAATACCAGCACTGCCATCTGTCGACGTGGATCAGCATGACCGTCTCTTAGTAGATCATGGTCTGTTGGACAATTAATTCCCTAACTTTTTTTTTTATTGCAGAAATATAATCCAATACAAAAACAAATAATATAGAACATATGGGGGAATACAGAGGAGAGAGAGGGAAAAAAATTAACAAATTACTTAAACCGTTCTATAATATGAGATGTCTTCAGAGGTTGTTGTTTTTTTTTCATTTGAGGAGACTTTTTGAAGTGGTGACAATGTAGAACAGAAGCAAATATTTTGCAGCTGGTTTTAAATTTAAGGCATCTAGCCTTGTGGATCTGGTGTTTACCCATCATTAAAACATCATCTAGCTCCTTATTGTCAGAAATATTAGAATGGAAAGGAACCTTACTGCTGGAAATACTACAGAGCTGATCATTGAAGCCAGAATTGTTTAGAATAGTAACAGAAATAGAACAAATGTGAAATAGATTCTTCTTCCTCTTGGCAGAAAGAGCAGAGTGGAGAAATATTATGGTTAAATTGACTTTGATACTTCTTACAAGAATAATGATGAATGATTTTAAAATAAAATTTATTTTATTATTAAACAAATTTATTTGGCACAGTCCATACCTTAAATTAATATTTGGGTAAAGTGCAGACCATTTTGTAACAAATTTGTTTAATAACAAAATTGTTGCATTTGAATTCGCTTATCCGTCCAACAGAAAAGCAGCAACTTGTGCATCATTACTCTTTCCACCTTGTGAATGTCGTATCGATTTTTTTTTTTTTTGTGTGTTATTCTGTCTTTGTGTTCTGACTACTCATAATTTGTTATTCATAACTTATTGAATCTCCCTAATTCCTCTTTTCCATCTTTTAAATGTTCCTTTCTAAAATAGCCTACCGCTTGTACACATTCAGAAAGTCTTCCAGTTTTGTGGACATTAATCAGATGGCTGTAATTTCACAGAAAATTGAGACGACACAGCATTTTGACCACTGGATTAACAAAAATAATTTCAATTATATGAAGTGTTTTTTCCGCATTTGCAGTTCCTTTACAAACCTTTAATGTAATGTTTAATGCACTTTTTTTTTCTTTGCATTTTTATATCAATATGGTACACAAGATTTTACTATTTAACTCCGCATTTGCAGTTCCTTTACAAACCTTTAATGTAATGTTTAATGCACTTTTTTTTCTTTGCATTTTTATATCAATATGGTACACAAGATTTTACTATTTAAATCAATGTGATAAACGAGTTAGGTTAAAAAGTAATCTAAAAGTAATCAAAAAATCTGATTATATTACCTAAAATGTGTAATGTAATTACGTTAATAACTACAATTTTTGTCATGTAATTTGGAATCAGTAACGTAATGGACTACAATGTGTAATTAATCTACCCAGCTCTGCGTGTACATAATTTAGTTCTTTACCTGTCCAGCAGATAACAAGCAACTTCCATGTCATTCTTCATGCCTTTCTCCACCTTCAGCGCTTTCCATCTGGAATATTCCTCGCCGATGTTTACTCTGTTTTTCTGCCTCAGTCTGTCTCTCTCCCGCTTCATGTCTGTCCTCTTTCGCTTCTTGGGCAGAGCTTGTATTGTCTCAGCGGTTGATGCATAACAGTGATCCATTTCTTCCTCCGAAACTTCTGAATTGAAGTCCTGGCTGATCAGTGATAGACCTCTCACAGTCTCCTAAAACAAACCGTCTTACGGTTTAATAGGGTGTAAATTACACTACTTTATAATGCATTGGCCTATACATCAAGTAAACGTAAAATAAGTTTTAAAAATAAATATAAATGTATGCATCCTTAACTCTAACCTCCTCAAAGATCCCCCAAGCTGTTTCCATGCATACCTCTGGTTTTTGTAAATAAGTCACAGGCACAGCTGTATTTGTAAGATATCGTCCTGTCTTAACCTCATCTGCTCTGAAATAGTCTCGTGAAAAATGTTCACTGCACAACTTCATGTGCTTTAAGTATCGAATAGTTAAAGTAATATCCCGATGAACAGCAGCCAACGCTTCAGTCGCTCAGGACCGTTCACTGGAAATCTGTGAAAAGTCACCCTGTCACCTGTAAGGCTCGCTAATGCACTCTTACGTACTCGCAGGTTTTTTTCTTGAAGTTCTTGGATCCTGGAAATGTACACTTGTGCATTTTTTTTAAAAAACCCACCAGGACCAAAGTCAAAATGTAGAAAGAAACGCACGAAACTTGCATACAGCATCCCTGATCCTCTGCTGTAAACAACCAGCGCAGCGCTTCCAGGATCATCATCTTTCTTGTTTAGTGGCAACTAACATTTTAAGGTGCATTTCCGCCACCTACTGTGCTGGAGTGTGGGTCAGTGTTTTGAATTTTATTTTTAATATGTAATGTTTAATGCACTTTTTTTTCTTTGCATTTTTATATCAATATGGTACACAAGATTTTACTATTTAAATCAATGTGATAAACGAGTTAGGTTAAAAAGTAATCTAAAAGTAATCAAAATCTGATTATATTACCTAAAATGTGTAATGTAATTACGTTAACTACAATTTTTGTCACGTAATTTGTAATCAGTAACGTAATGGACTACAATATGTAATTAATCTACCCAGCTCTGCGTGTACATAATTTAGTTCTTTACCTGTCCAGCAGATAACAAGCAACTTCCATGTCATTCTTCATGCCTTTCTCCACCTTCAGCGCTTTCCATCTGGAATATTCCTCGCCGATGTTTACTCTGTTTTTCTGCCTCAGTCTGTCTCTCTCCCGCTTCATGTCTGTCCTCTTTCGCTTCTTGGGCAGAGCTTGTATTGTCTCAGCGGTTGATGCATAACAGTGATCCATTTCTTCCTCCGAAACTTCTGAATTGAAGTCCTGGCTGATCAGTGATAGACCTCTCACAGTCTCCTAAAACAAACCGTCTTACGGTTTAATAGGGTGTAAATTACACTACTTTATAATGCATTGGCCTATACATCAAGTAATCGTAAAATAAGTTTTAAAAATAAATATAAATGTATGCATCCTTAACTCTAACCTCCTCAAAGATCCCCCAAGCTGTTTCCATGCATACCTCTGGTTTTTGTAAATAAGTCACAGGCACAGCTGTATTTGTAAGATATCGTCCTGTCTTAACCTCATCTGCTCTGAAATAGTCTCGTGAAAAATGTTCACTGCACAACTTCATGTGCTTTAAGTATCGAATAGTTAAAGTAATATCCCGATGAACAGCAGCCAACGCTTCAGTCGCTCAGGACCGTTCACTGGAAATCTGTGAAAAGTCACCCTGTCACCTGTAAGGCTCGCTAATGCACTCTTACGTACTCGCAGGTTTTTTTCTTGAAGTTCTTGGATCCTGGAAATGTACACTTGTGCATTTTTTTTAAAAAACCCACCAGGACCAAAGTCAAAATGTAGAAAGAAACGCACGAAACTTGCATACAGCATCCCTGATCCTCTGCTGTAAACAACCAGCGCAGCGCTTCCAGGATCATCATCTTTCTTGTTTAGTGGCAACTAACATTTTAAGGTGCATTTCCGCCACCTACTGTGCTGGAGTGTGGGTCAGTGTTTTGAATTTTATTTTTAATCGCGTCTCCCTTAGGGAAAGGGATTTTGACCGGTTTTGCAGCGTCAGCCAATGAGCAAGAGGCGTTTGATCATGTGATCTCACGGCTTTTTTTTTTAGTCCACAGAAGTTATTAAAAAAAATATAACTGTCCGCGCTGAAACCACGCCCACTCGCCGTAGAATTCAACCAATCGTCATCTGATTGGTTGAGTTCTACAGAATTTCTGGGAGACGTGTGTCGCGTTCTTTAACGTTCCGACTTGAAACAAAGATGCCGTGACGACAAACCCCCTCATGTTCCGTACAACTGGGGTATTATCGAAATATCTAAATTATTATAACGAGTGCTTATTCAGCAAAAGGCAAGTAAAACTGTTAAGAGTTAAATTTTACACGCATACATACCGCCTTTGACGGGACAGAAAAATCCTCGGGATTTGGTACCGCATTACTCAACAAACGCAAACTGCGTTGATGAGCAAGGCCAAAGTCCACCATTCTCCAGTTCTCGTAGCTCTCCCGAGAAAAATGCTTGCTACACACAAACATATTCGAGGTGTCGGTAGTTGACGGCCAACCAACCGCCCGCAGCCAGAGTCTAGCCCTGACGGCATCGGGGGGAAAGCCGTGCAACGCACCCGAACTTTTACACCACCGAAACAAACACTTGCGACCCATACTATAAACTCCTAACTACTGCGCGGTCTCGGTGTTGCCAACTATTTGCAATGGAAAGTAGCTAAACCCTACTTGAAACAAGTATAGGTCTCTGCAGGAAAGTAATGGGAGTTCTTCTTCTGGTGTTAATGGCGGTTGGCAAACCAACTTAAATGGTGCATTCCCGCCACCTACTGGATAGGAGTGTGGAGCGCATAATGATTGGAAGTTTGAGAACTATAGCCAAAATAAAACAAAATTTTTTAAATATAATTCCGCTTTATTTACTACAACTGTATCCTAAATTCTATTTATCAGTCTTGTTTCTTTTAAGAAAATAATTAATTCATGAAATATTCTTGATTGCTTTGGGCCATTTCCTAACAGAACCTGAAGTGAAAAATTATTTATTCGATCCTAAAGCTTGAATTAGTTGAAATCTTGCTCCTTCATATGCATCTCACTCTATAAGTACATGTTCTATGTCCAATACGCATTCTTGACATTAAAACGTCTTTCCTGTTGCCAAACTTTCTTCTTCTTTACGCTCAGAGGGTGACTGCAGCGGGGAAACAAGACCTCGTGCTCGTGCAGGACAGTACTGGTGACATTTAGAGTCGCTAAGGGGAAGTCGTGGCCTAATGGTTAGAGAGTCGGACTCGTATAAGGTTTGTCCAAAAAGTTGCTAGATTTGTTGCTAGTCGCTTTTTGGAAAAAAAAAAAATAAAGCCGCTAAAGGAGTCTGAAAAGTCGCTAAATCTAGCGACAAAGTCGCCAAGTTGGTAACACTGCGGACTCACAGTTTGACAGGTCTTTTATTGGAAAGCATCAGGTGCTGTCATGAATAATTAAGAGACAGTGTCTTCTCATAGGATAAGAACTCAGTCTCATGAATAATTATGAGACACCTATGCGTCAACCTGTGACGTCGCCACGATTTTAAACCCGGAAGACGAAAATAGCGGAGAAAAGCTCAATTACCCAGTTTTTTCCTACAATTAAAGCTTACAGATGCCAACGTTGCTTTAATGATGCTCAACACACACAAATCTGTTAAGATCTCAGAAAATTTAGTTTAGGGTTTCATGACCCTTTAAAATGCGTCCGAAAGTTTTCCACACCGGTCTGTTATTGTGGGGACATTTCCACGCCCCAAAACATGACGCAGCACAAAACGAAATGTGATTGGTTGCGTTACCTGTCAGTCATGTGGCTTATTGGGCGGTCCTTGGCCATTCAACGCGGCCAAGGTCCCCAGACCTTATGCCGTCAGCCTGAAGCTCTGGCTACGCGACACTACTATAATTATAACATAAGAACACAATGCAACTTACACTAATTGGTGGGTGCGTACTGCCGACGATGGCACCAGATGTCGGCGGGACGGAAGGATGAAGGCCGGGGCGGGAGATAGTCGGCTCGGCCCCGTTCACCAGTAACAGCGGATTATCAGTGAATCCCAATTGTCTCCGATGAAAGTTTATAAAACTATCCGGTGTAAAATGTTCACTGCAAAGGCGGGTGTTGGTGGTGATCCTCAGCTCTCCATCAAGGTGCCTCTTTACAAACTTAATCCACCTCTTCTTGATATCATCGTTTTTAGGAAATTTAAATAAGGAGACCGAGCTATTTTGTAAATGATCGCAACCTGGTAATACGCATTTACGTGACGCAGGCATAGCTAGCTAGCAAACTGTAGGCTGTAACTAAGTGTTAGGGGAGGGGCCATGCTCAGTGGCTCCAGTGTGTCATCGAGACATGATTTCAGCCCCGCCCATAAAAAAAATCCTGAACACAAAAATGGTGCAAAACCCTTTAATGGTCTGTTTAACTCCACAGTTCAGTACTACGTAGTTCAGACTTTGTAACATGTTTCCAGCAATACATTTCTAACATTTATGCGTTTAGAAATTGTGCATGGTTTTTGTACTGAAACTTGAGAGGATTGATTATCACGTCTTGGAATTAAACTGTCAGTGTCAAAAACTTCATATATAAAATACAAAACTAACTTTTCATACGGATGACTATTTCAATGCATGTTATGTATATATGAATTATATAACATTTTATATAATAAAGTATATAAAATATTTATTTATTCAGAGCCCGGGAAACATCTGATGGTGTTACATGGGACTCCGGAGTTTGTGGCCCCAGAGGTAGTCAATTATGAGCCTGTAGATCTGGCCACTGACATGTGGAGCATTGGCGTCATCTGCTACATCCTGTAAGAGCTTAGAATTAAGCAGTTTATGGCCTCCACCTCCATTTCTATTTACTAATATGTGCACTTTCAATTTTCTTTTCCACCGTTTCCCAGACTGAGTGGCGAGTCTCCATTCCAGGGAAACAGCGATGCCGAAACCTTAGCTCTGGTTACTGCAGCGCAATGGGAGTTTAACCCTGAGAGTTTTGATGGCATCACCAATGAGGCCAAAGATTTCATCAGTGGCCTATTGAGGGAGGATAAAAGGTGAATGAAGAAATGTGAATCGAGAAATTAGCATGGTCACATCATGCATGTTTTATTCAACTTTATTCAACAACGGTCATGCGTAATGGTTATGGCAAAAGTTATTCAAGTCTCACATTCTATTGTTGTATGCGGAGTTTTTTTATTCTATTTTTACACTCCTAGAACAAGACTATCATGTGAGAAAGCATTAGCTCATCCCTGGATAGCTTTATTTGATGACTCAAACTCCAGATCAACCAAATCCCTTAACAAAGACAAGATGAGAAGGTTCCTGGCCCGACGGAAATGGAAGGTATGAAATTTAAGAAGTTACTTACTTGCAGCTGTTTTAGAATCAAGATCTCTGATGGTTCTTGATTTTTCAGGTGGTCATAAATATTACTTTTTTTTTTCTTTTAAAACTGCGAATCATGCGCACATCTGTTCTGTCTCGCAGAAAACCGGTAAAGCCCTGCTTGCGCTGAAAAGGATGGTTCGCTGCAGCAAATCTGATGCACTGCATTCTCCCTCCATTTCTGTAGATGGTAAGACACGTGAGAATCTGTTTGTCCAACTGATGCAGTGTTTAGAAAGCCATTACACATTACTTTTGCAATTCTGTTGGTTTGCCCTCTTATCATGTCCCTGCGATTTCAGCGAATGCTCTGGGGAAAGAAGCCGAACAAGCTGTGGCATCTCTGGAAAAACAGTTGTGGAGTGAACCACGTTTCCATCGAGCCCTGCATGACCTCACTGAGAGCTGCGGAGCCACGGTGCACCTGGCCTGCACAATACAAGGTACAGTACTGCTTACAGTGTTTGGCAAAAAAGCATTTTTCATGTTTTTGAAAAGAGGTGATACCAGACACTTTTGCAAACCAGCAGAAATGAAAATGCATGGCTAGTGTGATTGATTGTTTAAAATTGCTGCATCTTTTCAAGATCCTCCTGCAGTACAAGACTGTGAAGCAGGGTTTTTATTGGACCATAATTCTCTGAAATGACTTCTGTTTGCAGGATATCCTGACCCTGAAGTGGTTTGGCTGTTTGATGAAGCGCCGCTGGAGAAGACCAGACGCGTTCAGATGCATTATGATAAGAACGGCACTTGCACACTCACCCTTGCTCAAGTACAACCAGGGGATTCTGGGATTTACAAATGCTGTGCGTCCAACAGCCTGGGGCAGGCGCGGTGTTCTGCCAGACTCACCGTGCAACTCTAGGACATCAAATCTATGATAAGTGTAAAGAAAATGGCAGATTTCTAATGCAAAACGGAATATTTGGAACCATGTGCAAAAATGATTGAAACAAAAGTGTTTTCAAACTATCGACATGTTTTACGTCACTCAAAGCTGTTGTAATTCACAATTTCTGAATTGTTCTATTGTTGATTAAGTCACGATTTACTCCACAATCTTAATGTTAGTTTCAAGTTTAATTTCTATAATTTTCCCTGGTGTGAAACATTTTAGCCATTAATTTTGTTTGAGCATTGTGTTTTTCTACAGAACCTGGGCATGATTTGATTCTGCTTAATTTAAGACAAAGAAATTTTAAAATGTTACATTTGTTGTGCATGCATGTGTATATATGAAGAATAAATGTATTAAAGTTTTATGAAATTAAGATGTTTTATTTTTAATGGCTAATCCATGAATACATCAAAAATCATTTTGTAAATTTGCCTGAAATCACTGACCAGTTGGTCTGTTATGGGTTAATCTGTCATTCAGTTTTAACTTTGGTCTTCAGGAGGCACAATATAGATTAATAACCGTCTTCTCTTTCAGAGCATGTATAATCTACACCACAATCATGGTCAAAGACTTTTCCACTGAAAATAACTCACAGCGATTAGAAAAATAAGTAAATGGCAATGCAACAACCAAATATGACAATATTCAATAACCGGCACAAGAACAAATGGTAAACTGTATATTGCAGATCTATTAAAAGTGCTCAAGGTGTTTTCTGTCCCAAATCTATTTTACTGCATTAGAAGAGCCACATAAGAACTCAAACTGGCTCATTTGCTTATGAAGATTACAGGTGTTTGATGAAACAAATGGTACATGACTTAAAGGCACAATATGTAATTTTCGCCGCTAGAGGGCGTGTATTCAAAATAAACAATCAAAAGCGTAGTTTGATGACGCCCTGACGGAGTGTGGAATCATGGGAGTTGTGGTCTTCATCCCCACAGCCGATGCAATCCGACGGGACTCGGGCAGAAATCATGTTCATGGATGAGCTAATGATTTATTAACGTCGTAGTATGAAGCAGAGTGAGGCTGAAAGCCGTCGAAGCGAAACGAGCGCGACACATGGCCCGAAAGCAGCGGAGCTTTTATTATGCCACAGTCGACCGCTTCCGCTCCTTCTGGTCGTGCGACGGGACTCGGGCAGAAATCATGTTCATGGATGAGCTAGTGATTTATTAACGTAGTAGAATGAAGCAGGGTGAGGCTGAAAGCCGTCGAAGCGAAACGAGCGCGACACATGGCCCGAAAGCAGCGGAGCGTTTATTATGCCACAGTCGACCGCTTCCGCTCCTTCGACCGGAAGTATGTGGGGGAAAAAACCAGTGCTGTTTTATCATACTAGATACATTTGAAAGTTCTGTTATAATGCTACTCTGTGCGGTCGTCACCGGTCTATTAAAACGCACAACATTTTACGGCTCGAAAGCAGTGGAGCTTTTATTATGCCACAGTCGACCGCTTCCGCTCCTTCGACCGGAAGTATGTGGGGGGAAAAAACAGTGCTGTTTTATCATACTAGATACATTTGAAAGTTCTGTTATAATGCTACTCTGTGCGGTCGTCACCGGTCTATTAAAACGCACAACATATTAAAGCGTCTTTGGTGTTTTTTCTACAAAACAAAACCGGAAATCGAGGGGTTATGACGTCATTGGCAGGTGACACAATGACACTATGGACACGGTCCGTGTCACTAGTTAAAATTGCTTATTTCTCTGGATTTAAACATTCTTCGAAACATTTGGGATAATGTAAGTACACAAGTCAGCAAAATATATAACACTGTTCTAATGGTTTTTGGATATTTTAATAAAAAAATCTTACATATTGTGCCTTTAAACAAACAGTCACTCATTTATGCTTCTGAAATGAACTAAAATATTTCACTACATTTTGAAAACGTATTAATATTGAAGCCTGTCTCAGGGTGAAGGTCTGATTTCTTCTTGTCTCTTCTGAATCCGCTGCTGTAATAGATTCCAGGCTTTCAACACCTGGGGAAACACATGCATTAATGATGAGCTGCATGTTTTGAGGTTAATAAAGCCCATCATCCATCGAGTCGTTCCTGATCTGGTGTGTGTGTACCTGTCTCTGAGTAACGTCAGGTTCCCAGAGTGTGCACAGCACTACGTTAGCATGTTCTATTAGCTGTGCATTCGGCCACTGGCTCTTCAGTCTCCTCAAGGCGTCTTCCTCCTTCACACCGTCTCGCTGGACTATACGCTTCACTGCCTGAAACCAAGAGAGAGTTAACACATCTAGAATGTCCTAATATTGTTATTTATGTAGTGAGATGCAAAAATCTGTGATTACTAGTAAATGTTTTGAATTTAAAACTCTTTTCTTCACAAATTCAATACAGTCTGAGTGAAAAGATGAAAAATCTTCTTGAGCTTCAATGGAAGAAAATCTGACAAAAAGTCACAATCAATGCCACTAACTACCGTTCAAAAGTTTGGCTTTTTTTAAAGTTATATTTATGGGCTTTTTAATGTGATAGGACAGGAAAGCATTGGGCGGAGAGAGGGAAATGGGATCATCAAAAGACCACGAGACGGGAATTGAACTCGGCCCCCGCAGTTGCGCTATATGTCGGCGCACTAACCACAAGATTATGGGGACTGACGGATTTAAAAATATATAATTTATTCATATTTTTATTCAGCAAGGACACATTAAATTAATCAAAACTGACGGTAAATACATTTATAATGTTACAAAAAATGTATATTTCAAATAAATGCTGCTCTTTTCAACTTTCTATCAAATAATCCTGAAAAAAAAAAACGAGTATCACCATTTCCACACAAAAAATCTACGTTTTCAACATTCAGCTTTGATCCCAGAAATAAATTACATTTTACAATATATTTAAACAGAAAACGGCTATTTTAAATTGCAATAGTATTTCACAATTTTACTGTCTTTACTGTATTTTTGATCACTTAATTCCAGCCTTGGTGAGCAGAAGAGACTTCTTTCAAACAAAAATCTTTGAGCAGTGCACAATCTGAAATATTTCTTATATATCAAGCTCTTTGTTTTTAATTTTTCAAATTTCAAATTTTTCAAATTTTTTTGCTGTTTTTTTAATGTTTAAATCCCAGAATATGGTTTCAGGCCTTTCGACCTCACAGTATTTAAAAAAAAAACAAAAGCGTGTCTATATTAAAGCTTTAGCACCTCTTCCTCTGGGATGGTGGCCACCCAAACCTCATGCACCAAATATGTCCACCCCGCCTCGAGCAACACGGCCGCATCCACCACACAGACACGCTTACCTGAAAAGAAGAAGTGAGTTTTTAATGTGATAGGACAGGAAAGCATTGGGCGGAGAGAGGGAAATGGGATCATCAAAAGACCACGAGACGGGAATTGAACTCGGCCCCCGCAGTTGCGCTATATGTCGGCGCACTAACCACAAGATTATGGGGACTGACGGATTTAAAAAAAAAAAAATGTATTCATATTTTTATTCAGCAAGGACACATTAAATTAATCAAAACTGACGGTAAATACATTTATAATGTTACAAAAAATGTATATTTCAAATAAATGCTGCTCTTTTCAACTTTCTATCAAATAATCCTGAAAAAAAAAAACGAGTATCACCATTTCCACACAAAAAATCTACGTTTTCAACATTCAGCTTTGATCCCAGAAATAAATCACATTTTACAATATATTTAAACAGAAAACGGCTATTTTAAATTGCAATAGTATTTCACAATTTTACTGTCTTTACTGTATTTTTGATCACTTAATTCCAGCCTTGGTGAGCAGAAGAGACTTCTTTCAAACAAAAATCTTTGAGCAGTGCACAATCTGAAATATTTCTTATATATCAAGCTCTTTGTTTTTAATTTTTCAAATTTCAAATTTTTCAAATTTTTTTGCTGTTTTTTTAATGTTTAAATCCCAGAATATGGTTTCAGGCCTTTCGACCTCACAGTATTTAAAAAAAAAACAAAAGCGTGTCTATATTAAAGCTTTAGCACCTCTTCCTCTGGGATGGTGGCCACCCAAACCTCATGCACCAAATATGTCCACCCCGCCTCGAGCAACACGGCCGCATCCACCACACAGACACGCTTACCTGAAAAGAAGAAGTGAGAATTAATCACACTTAAAACAGAAAAAGTTCAGATAGAGCATGAGATGAAAGTGATAAATGCTTCACCCTGTTCCTTTGCTTGTTTTATTCTTTTCTTCACCAGCAGAGCAATCTCAGGCCACACAATATCTGTCAGAGCTCTCAGACGCTCCTGAAAAACAAACGCACACATAAATACAATGTGAACAGGAGGGAAAATGTGTTCTGAATTCAATTATATTTATCTGATCGATAAGAATCAGAAATGTTTCTTGAGCAGCAAATTAGAATGATTTCTGAAGGATCATGTGACACTGGAGTAATGATGCTGAAAATTCAGCTTTGATCACTGAAATAAATTATATTTTACCAAATAATAAAATTGAAAACAGTTATTTTAAATAGTAACAATATTTCACAATATTACTGTTTTTATTGTAATTTTGATCAAATAAATGCAGCCTTGGTGAGCAGCAGAGGCTTCTTTCAAAACATTTAAAAAATCCTACCAACCCCAAACTTTTCAATGGTACTTTATATGAATAAATACATAATCTCAAAAAGAACAGCAATAGAGAGCTGAGCTAAATCATGCATCACATGACCAACATGCACATAACTGAATGGTCTTCATTAAATTACACAGCAGTTACACAATGCCATGATTCTTTAAATACGGCTCTATCAACTCCTTCAAGACCTTTTCTACACAAAAAGCAGAACACATTTAAGAAATGACTACAAAAAAATTAGACCATTTTTTTGCAGTCCAAACTGTTTTGACACATTTCCAAGCGTTTATCAGTTGATAACAACGGTGGCAAAACGTCTCAAACTCTACTCCACATTCATCCAACTACCACGTAGATCAACTTTTAAAGCTTTTTTTTAGAGCTGCTTTGAACAGATTTAGCATGTCATCACTTGCCAGTCCATCAATTAACATCTTGTAAAGCCAAAAGTTGCATGTTTATAAGAACCAAATCTATCATTAAGATGTTTTTAACTTCAAAACTTGTGGATTATTGTGATGTTTTTAACAGCTGTTTGGACTCTCATTCTGACGGCACCCATTCACTGCAGAGCATCCATTGGTGAGCAAGTGATGCTAAAATGCAAAATTTCTCCAAATCTGTTCAGATGATGCAACGATTTAAATTTTTGGGTGAACTATTCGTTCAAAGCTTTCTAGAGGGTCTCCACTTACTTTTTAGTAGTTCCTGGTCACACACACCAATGACAAAGCGTCTGTTGGCCATCAGACAGGAAATATTCAGCAGCGTCTTGTGGGCCCCATGCAGACGGTCAAAAGTGCCGCCAACCACCACATCACTAAACGTCTCTAAAGGTTTTAATTGTGCACCACTTCCTCCTCTATCATCATCTTCCTCGACCTCTTTTAGTCGTGGGTACAAAAGCACAGATGAGAGAGTCGGGTTACAGACGTAGCAGTGACCCGCGTACTTCTGCAAGCACTGGGTGACCAGCGAGGACTGGCCTGAATCCTGGATGGGGAAGTCTGTCAGCACTACTTCTGGCGAGTGGGACAGCGTCTGCGGGGTGGGAAAAGGGCCGCTGCTTCCGCTCAACACCACAGATTGGGCACGGACGTTACTGAGCAGCACCCTGACGTCAAGGTGCGCGCAGATGTCAGCGGCATTGCTGTAAAGGCGGGAGATGAGAGCGCAGAGATCCACCACGGGCGGGATGTAGACGGGCCGCACCTGGCCACCTGTGCTCAGGTTGAGGCCGGGGTGGAGATGGACGTACAGTGTGCGCTCGACCACCTGGGCCCTGACGTCAAGGTGCGCGCAAATGTCAGCGGCATTGCTGTAAAGGCGGGAGATGAGAGCGCAGAGATCCACCACGGGCGGGATGTAGACGGGCCGCACCTGGCCACCTGTGCTCAGGTTGAGGCCGGGGTGGAGATGGACGTACAGTGTGCGCTCGACCACCTGGGCGGCAGACGTGAGGACAGGCGCGATGCGGAGAGGGAGGACGTGTAACGGAGACGTAAGGACCAGGATACCGGTGCTGAACATGGACATGATTGACAACTTTCTGATCTTAGACACTGAAAGATATAATACAGATCTGATTCAAATTAACACATTATTTATGCAGTTCCATAAAGAGATACTTATGAAAATGTATATCTTGAATGCAATGTACATGCATAAAAATCTGCCAAATGAATAAATGTAAATAAATATAGAATTAGGTATCTTGGACTATTATTTACATATGCACATATTGCAACTTTAAATTGTTTTAAGTACTTGTAATTTGTAAGTACACACATGCATATTTTTCTACCTTATTTTATTATTTTGAGAATTGAGCTATAAGACGAATAGAATTCTGATCTTCAAAGAGATTTGAAATAAGAGAACAGAACAGAAATATCACTGCATTTTGAAATTTGCACACTGATTAAACTGTGCTGTATAAATAAAACCTGGCAAAAATAACTCTAATAATTAAAATAAAAAAAGAATCTATAAAAATATAGCTCTCATATGAAATGAATGCATATTTTGATTAGAATAATTCAATAAAACATGAGAAAAATTACTGTAATAATTAGAATATACAAATTTTGATTAATTCAATAAAACCTGGTAAAAATTACACCAATAATTAAAATAAAAAAGAATCTTTAAAAATATAGCTCTTATATGTATCATGCATTTTTTAAATTAATTCAATGAAACGTAACAAAAATTACCATAATAATTAGAATCACACACATTTTAATTAATTCAATAAAACATGACAAAAATTACCTTAATAATTAGAATAGACATATTGCTCTCAATCGTGGAACTTTTGATTAAAATCCAATAAAACATTTAAAAAATTACTAATATTTAGAATAAAACGGAAAATAACAGATTAGAGGAATTTCATACACACACATATGCAGATAGAACTTCATTGAATACTTTAATAATTTACAGCAACTACAGACGTTGAAAAATTGTTGATATCTTATATATTTATCCATAAATTATTCCAGATTAGCACAAAACAACACAGTTGATCCGGAACAACATACTGTAGCGCCAGACTACTTTGAGCAAAACCTAACGTACCTGAGGTATATTCTGCCGATCAGGATGTTGGAAAATGCAAAATGTGGGATATTATTGCAGAAGACAACTGTCTGGTATCAGTCTTCGTCATAATGACTATATAAAACACTAATGTTTTGCTCAGTAGAGCGAACTCACGTCCACCAGTTGACCTAGACAGCCATGTGCTGGAATACTGACTGATGATTGGCTAACAGAGGGAGTTCCTGCCCTAATGAATCATGGGAAGTGTAGTTCAGCGCCTTTCACTTCCTCCGTCCCTATTCAAACATGAACATTTCTCATCTTATCACTGTAAATGAATGAATGTAGTTATGTGATTGAATAATTGAGTACCTTTGATATGAAGAGCACGTTTTAACACATTTTACATTTGTGCCTCATGTTTTGTCAACAATTAGTTTTACGGTTTACATTACATAACTGCATAATATTGTAGTTTTTCTGTACCAGATATAATGAAATGTATGCTTTTATCAGCCTAAAAATGTTATTCCTGAAATAACCCCACTTTTCAGATCAAGATCTAATGAGGGTAATTATTCAGAAATTCATTGAAATCTTTATACACAATTTCACAATTGCAATTTTTCAGGGCTAGAAACAGGAGTAGTTTGTGCAATTCATTCTTCAAATCTTCATGAAGGCTGTAATATACTGTAAATATTTCATGGGAAGGCATTTGAAAGAATTTCTTTATGGCAGACCACTAAACAAGTATGAAAAGTACAGCTTTTATTTGACAAAATACAAAAATAACTTATCAATTTGAGCAATTTCTTGCTAGTTCATCGACATCAGGCATAACTCTTAAGTTTGGGTTTACCTGGAAAGCATTTCGTATTTCCTTGTAGAACTCCGTTGTAAGAAGCTGAAGCGCTTGTCGCGTCACGTCCACAAGATCGTACCGGAAAGTTTCCAGAGTGGCTAACCCTGGCGCGGCTTCGAACAGAAGCTTCCATGCTTTGTAGAAGTCAGTCGGTTCGTACCAAATGTCTGTTTGCATCCGCAGGGACGGACGATGTACCAATGGACTCCGGTTGTGGTTCTTGTATTGCGGAAGAGTGCAGTTATACACACTATGAAACAAGAGTTGCCAGGCCGCCGTCAGGTTCTCATCCATACTACCGTAGTGCCGCAGGGCGTACAGCGACACCCACTTGGAAAGGTTGACGGGTTCTTTGCGCCAGGCCAGCTCACTCATAAGTTCGTAAATGACTGGATTCTGTTCGATGCCTTCGGGAGTCAAACCCAAACCCACTAGGGTTGAATTCGGGAAGCGGATGGCATTGAAGGGGCCGGAGTTAATGCTTTCCACCGTTCCAAACAGACCGCTATTCCCTCCAAAGTTGTGCAGCATGCACCAAATAAACGGCTGGCTGTAGAAGGAGTTTGTGGAAGAGTAGACAGGCATGGATTCAGCAAAGAGATCCAGGACAATCATGCGCCCCAGGGGGACGCCGTGTAACAGTGCCTTGACCTGGTCTGGTTTCCAGAACGAAGGGTTACTGATAAATAACCAGCCCTGCATCAGCCAAATTGCTTGAGGGTCCACTGCCAGAGAGAGAGTAAAAGGAGAGAATAAGAGACCAACGCATCCGTGTGAGCAGTTGTGAGGACGCCGTGCTTCATCCCATCACGGGGTTGGGAACCCCAACTGTGCCCCAGAAAATAAGCGGGTCATTTGTGGGTTTTAAAACTAGAGCAAATGCAATCCCAAAGAAGCATGAGTAAATTCAACATCTATCACGTGAATTATTTCCCACACTAACCAGAAAGGGGTAACAACGGTAGTTACCTGAAGTCATTGTATTGAAAACGGCACGGCTGATAGACGCCAGGTAAGCGGGGTCCGAAGAGGCTGGGACCATCTCATTAAAGGTGTCGGTGTTGTAAATGTGGTCTGTTCCGAACTCCTTAATGACCTGGGTCAAAAAGAGCGCTCCTATTCGCTGGAAAAGTGGATCGCGTGGGTCAAGCACATAGGCGGAGGAGTAGGTGCAGTTAAAATGGCTCCAGGGGTTCAGCTTGGTCACATTTGCTTGGGGGAACAACCTAAAAGGCATTGCTAAATGTGATTACTCCCGTCTTCGCTCTCAAATATCTGCTAAAGAGAAGGAAATAGAAGTGATGTGTTCTTTGCACATTCTTATTGCATTGGCCATTTAGATACATTTAGAAATTTAAAAGATAACCAACACCACTTTAAATTTCAAGATTGAAATCTACACCAATGAAAAATCTAAGAAATCTACACATTTTGAGGAATATTACCTGGTAATACCTTCAGGTACGATTCCTGAAAAAGCAGGCAATACAGGTATCATCCCAAAAGATCTCATGCCCATTTTCGCGGATGTGTGTAAACGCGAATCGTTTTGAAAACGTTGTCGTGTATACGTGAAACTTTTTAAAAACGCAAGGGAAAAACTTTTCCGTTTTTGACTACATCGTTGTCGTGTTAAACTTTTCGTCGTGTTTTTCTTTATATATTACTTTTGTATATTGTTTGTTATATGTTAGAACAAATTTATGTAATGTATGTTCAAAATTGTTCCAAAAAATAAAAAAATATAATAAAAAATGAAAAAATCCTAACCCTGACCACTTAGAAAAATAAGATCACATCCCTCCAATAAAGTTTTTTTTTTTTTTTTTTTTTTTTTTAAGATGTTCAGTACCTGCAGGTAGAGCTGTTTGACGTGCCAAGACTGAGGAAGTGGTCCTCCCCACTGAAACAGGTTTCCCATGCGGTTCCACGCTAAGAAAGCTGGACCTGTGAAGAAGCGATCCAGCTCAGTCTGGTTCAGACCGAGAGACAGATAAACCTACAGTACAACAGGAAAAGAAACAGACGAACATAAAACACAACATACACTTGAAAATATTAATTTACACGACTGAAAATTCTCAAGAGACAAGCCATTTTTTAAAGAAATCCTCTCACCTCCTGCCATAGCACTTCCTGTCCAGTGAATGCCAGAGGAAGGTTTATGCCATTCAGTGCCATCCAATCAATCTCCATTTGCCATCTGGGCCAGTCCCACCACACGGAGGAGTAACTCTGGGTACATACGTTCTGATAGTACCTGAACCTAGAATTACACTAAATGAAATTAATTTGCTGCAGTAGTTCCTCCACACATTAACCAGCTTGTGACATATCTGGCATCGATACTATTTTCTTTTTTGGAGCTGTAAAGAACATGACCTCATTCATAACGTCATATTCACATTGTGTGGAATTCACTGCCCGCCGGCGTCTCTGAGAGTGACATAGTACAGGCCAGCTCATGCAGAACTAACAAGACAAACACAACCGGACAACAAAGAAACGTCCGGCTTCTACATAACATCCACATGAACAATAGCGATGAGAAGTATCAACAATGTTGCATTTTCATTGTCCTACAAATCACACACACAACACAGTGAGGGCTGTCCTGAGTGGACGAACACGAGAACATGCAGAAGAAACAAAAACAACTGCTCACAGAATGATGAGCTACCTGCAGAAACATACAAATTAGCAAACGAACAAACAAAAGACACAGACAATCTTATCAAGACAGCTAATAAAGTGTTTTAGTGCATTAGTCAGGTTAAAATGATGGTTATAGTTGCTCTAATCTGGACAAAGTACATTAAAGAGTTCATCTTAATCACACTGAGAAAACTAGTGATGTAACTAGTGATTTGTTTGAGATCTGTGCTACAAGAGACATTAAATATCAGTCTGTTTGCAATTATTTGACAAAATACACAATGGATTTTTTTAATACCTGATCATTTCTCAAATTAAATGAAAACATTTACAAAATATTTGAAATGAAAATATTTTACACAAAATTCACAAAAAAATGAAAGAAAAAAAATTATACAACAAAACTAACAATAGATTTAGAACGGGCATAAAGAGGAATATGTTGATTGATATGATAATATCTAAATCGGCGAATATCCCTATTATCTCATTTTTATTTTAGTCCAAGTATGAGAATATATATCTAGAAAATATCTAGAAAAGAGAAATGGACAACATGAATGTTGAACAGCTGGAACTGCTATGAGTTTCAGCCCCTAGGAGTAAGAAATTTGCAAAATCTATGATTTAAGAATGAAAATGCATGCATATAATAAATGTGACAAAAAAATATTAATGCTAAAACTACACCATAGGAACATTTTGGTTTGAAACATTCTCCAGAGCTTCATTAATTTCAATTATTAAAGGTATTCATTTTTGATAAAACTGGAGAGTGTTTACCTAACGATTTTCAAATCCCATCACAATAATCACTGCTAACCAAAATATCTTCAAAGAACGTTTTGCTAATGTTCCCATCAAGTTATGAAAACATTCATTTTTTATGTTTTAAAAAAGTTTTTTTTGTGTGCGTGTTTGTTTTTTTTTTGGTTATGCAAACGTTAAGGGAACATTCCATTTTAACATTTAGCAAAAATGATTGGAATGTTCTTTTAACATTTAACTTTAATGTTTAACGTTAGTTCATAACCTCGAGAGAACCTTTCCAGAACGTTATCCAAGAGAACGTTCCCTGTAACCTGAAATCACCTCTATTGTGAATCAGAATCAGAATCAGCTTTATTGCCAGGTATGTTTACACATACGAGGAATTTGTTTTAGTGACAGAAGCTTCACAGTGCAACAGAATGACAGTGACAAGACAGGACACAGATAATAAAAAGAATAATATAAAAATAGACAAAATAGACAATGTACAAAAAAGCAAAAACACAATATATAATATAGACAATTTTGTATGTACATCATTTGCTTGTTAGTTGCATTGTGATGTCATTTAGTTGTGGCATTCTTTATTTATAATGTCATTCACCTATGGGTCAGTGACAAATTAATAATAATAATAATAAAAAAAACAATATATATAAATATATAATAATTCATTTTTTATGTTTTATATGTTTTAAAACTTTAAAATATGTATTAATAATAATAATAATAATAATAAAAACAATATATATAAATATATAATAATTCATTTTTTATGTTTTATATGTTTTAAAACTTTAAAATATGTATATGAAACTTTCAACAATTATAAATATATAGGTTTTACTTATGATTTATTGACTCTAATCACTGAAAATGTCAATCAGTATCAATCAATAAAAACTATTTTGTTGAATCATTAGACGTTTCATTTAAACTGTTAAGAATACATTTACCTGTGCGGGGTGTTGATGCGCAGGACGCCGGTGAGAGGAGGCAGGGGTCGGGGGATATTTAACTGATCTCCAGACCAGGACACATGACAGTTGCAGAAGTATTTGAGATAGTTGTATATACCGGTGGCCACCGCGACCCCCGTGCTGCCCACCGCCAGGATCTTGTTGTTCTTCGCGGATCGCAGCTCACACACGTCTAGAGTGTCATTAGACAGAGTCCTGTTGACTGACACGATGAAATCCCGAGATCTGTTTCCCAGCAGTCTCCGGAGCAGATCCACCACAGCTCTGGACTGGCTTTTGTCGCTGGCCTTCGCTCTCATATGCGCGAGAGTCTGAAAGTCGCTGCAGACCGACTGCAACAATGTAACAAACAAAACGCGCTGCGGTTACAGTGTATCATTTTGAGTTCTGTGACGTCAGCTGCATCGGCGCTGCAGATGTCGAGTTCAAAATGTGAACTTTTCTACTATCGATTTCCTTCGCGTGAGCAGGAAGCAATGTGTGTCAATGGAGAGGCAGACGACCAATCACGAGACTGTCTGAAGGGCCTCGGTGGAGCTTCAGCCAATAAGAACTCCAGATTGACAGAAAAGGGGGAAACGCGGTTGTATTCATCACATGATCCCGTTCTATTCGATGTGTGATCTCTGTATTGACAAACAACTGTTTTTATGAGGCTGTTTAGCAGCACAAACATAAACATTCTGTTTGTCAGGAAGAAAATTAAAGAAATAGAAAACTGTCATCAATGACACTTTCTAGTTCAAGTGGGTTGTATAATGCAAATTTATTATGGTAATAAATCAAACAGCTTTACTGAAAATCTCTTAAAGCTGGTTAGGTAGATAAGGACGTACCCTTGGAACGGGAAACAAACTTTGAATGGCACATATTTAAATATAAAAAACTATGATAAATAATAATCAAATAATAATGATGATTATGATAATAATTATAATTTTTAAATATTTTTACATATTTAATAAACCGTTAAATCAATTACAGAAAAATGACAAAATGCATGTATTCATTTAATTTTGTTTATTTGTGAATTTTTAATTTAATTTAGCTTTAATTTTACATTTCTTTACATTTTGCAGACGCTTTTATCCAAAGAGACTTACATTGCATTCAAGGTATACATTTAAATTATTTTATTTTATTGTGTTTTGTTTTGTTTTATTTCATTTTTATTTTAATTTTACATTCAATTAAATTTTGTTTTATTTTACATTTTATTTACATTTACGGATTTGGCAGACACTTTTATCCAAAGTGACTTAAATTGCATTTAAGGTATACGTTTTATTTTATTCTTTTAAAATAATGAGGACGATACAACAATTAAAATATATATATATATATCACACTCAGTGGAATAAATCAATGCTACAAATCTGTGTAAATATGTTACGACTTTTATTTTGACGGGCGTCCTTACGGAAGCCAATGCACCCTGCTGGGTTTAAAAGTTACTCTTTAGAATTTATAATTTCGCTATTTTAATGACGCTTCGGGAAGGATGTGAGTATAGTTAAATGAAAATATGTTTGTATTTTATGTTTGTTTTTATAAACTATATTTATTAAATGATTAAGAAGCCCAGAAAGTTGATAGGACGCAAACACGTGGAGATTTGCACATTAAACACCTCTAGTCTACAGGAGCATCTGTTTGAGGACTACATACATGTACCGTATTATTACGGTACGGTAATCATGAATTAATGTCATTATTAAGCTCTCTGTGAATTATTACACAAATCTCTGTTTATTGTTAACGTGTGCAAGAACTGCATTCATGTACATGCACACATGCATATGGTGATAATGCACATGCATTATCACCATATGCATGTGTGCATGTACATGCATGCATATGGTGATAATGCAGTTCTTTTATATGGATCTCTCTGTTATTTATTTCATAGATCTGTGTTTGTTGTAATCATGTCAGAAGAAGTCCTGCTGGCTCGTGTGAAGGCTTTGGAGGAAGAGGTGGAGAGACTGAAAGCTCAGCTGAAAATAGAGAGAGATGGAGCTGGGACAGAGGAGAGGACTCAAACATCAGCCATTCTCCAAACAGAGAGCTCCAAACATCAGGAAGGTGGAGAGAACCGATCCAAACAGAAGAAACAAGGAGCAGAGAGGCCCTTCGACTTCTCTGCCTATCCTCGCAGACATGTGGCACTGCGGCTGGCGTATCTCGGCTGGCAATATCAGGGCTTCGCTGTCCAGGAAAACACAGACAACACCGTTGAAGCCCGGCTTTTTGAGGCACTGCTGCAGACTAAACTGATCCAGGACCGACAGACCTCCACCTATCACCGCTGCGGCCGCACAGATAAAGGAGTCAGTGCTTTCTCTCAGGTACTGTGATCTACTGAATTTTTGTGAGTTTATGATATTGATCATGTTTTCATATTTTCCGGGTTCTCACAAACTCTATGTCTTCCAGGTCAAAGGTCTTGCTTTCCTCTATCACCAGGTGAGGAGCTCATCTCATACTGGAGGCCTTCAGAGCTGAAGCTGTGGTTCTCAACCAGGGGGTCTCAGAATACTTTCAAGGGGGTTTCAAGATGACTTTAAATGACATGCAGTTAGACAAAACAAGCTTTAGAATGAGCTAAAATAACTTATTAAAGAATTGTATTTTCTTTCAAGCACCAGAAATGTCTACTGTCTTGGGTTCTAGACCTGGAAACAGTGTTATTTAAGTATCATTGAGATACTATTATAGTTTCTATTAATAGTTTGAATTAGTTCTATTTTTTTATATATATTTTCAATTTTCATTTACATTTTTGTTAATGTTTTAGTCATTTTGTAGTGATTCTGTTATCTTTATTAGGTTTTGGTGACACTTTACAATAAGGTTTCATTTGTTAATATTAGATAATGCATTAGTTAACATGAACTAACAATGTGAATTAGTTTTCACTATAATTGTTTTACAGCATTTATTAATCTTTGTTAATGTTAGTAAAAATGAATTGTTTGTTCATGTTAGTTCACAGTGCATTAATGTTAACAAATACAATACTGAATTTTAATAATGTATTACTAAACATGAACTAAAATTAATAAATGTTGTAGAAGTATTTTTCATTGTTAGTTCATGTTAACTAATATAGTTAACTAATGTTAATAAATGAAACCTTACTGTGTTACCGGTTTTGTTTAGTTTTTTATATGTCTGTATAATTTTCATTCATTTTTATTTCAGTTTTAGTTATTTCAGTACATTAAGTAAAACGAAATGAAAATGAGAAATGTTTCCTTGGCAACTAGATGACATAAAATACGTTTTTTAAAAATATATTATTTCTGTTAACATTTAATTTAACAATTTATTTTTACATGGTTTCAGTTTTAGCTAACTATAATAACACTGCCTGGAAAAGTCAAGTAAATTAATAAAATCTTAAAACCTGAAAAGCATTCAACTCCTAAAACGGTTTAATAAATCAAATTATTTTAATTCAAATTGTTATTTTTTAACAGAAAGTAGGCGTGACAATAGATTAAAATACATTTTCAAATATCGTTGCGTACAGTGGAGAACATTGGTGTCAAAAAAGTTAATATTTATACATTTGTTGAAATTGTCTTCAGTATGTAGTCAATAACCTTATTATTTTCCTGCTGAGTTTTGATGTATTCGATTTTATTGAAGTTAGCAAGGTGTCTTTGCTATTTAAAAAAAAAAAATAGTACACCGTGTACACCACAGTGTTTATCAGCAGTAGCTAGCATTCCATTCTGAACATAACCAATAACTTTGCTTTTCCAGGTTCGCTGCATGATGGCTTTGCTGTTGCATATTGGACAGAAGCTTGAAGCTCCAGAAATCATTGATCAGCTGCTGGATGTGGAGAAAAACCCAAGGAAACCTCAATACAGGTGAGTTTTATTTCAGTATTTCCATAGCTAATTCTGGATTCCATGTGAAGTTGCATATTGCTTTGACCAGCAAGAACTTGATCTTTCACAATACTAAAATTTCAGATCTGTAGGAACTTTTTCTTGACTAAATTAGTGACTGTTAATTAAAGTTGTCTGTGTTTTATAGTATGGCGGTGGATTACCCTTTGGTGCTGTATGACTGCCACTTCGAGGGTGTGAATTGGAGGAATGAAACGGAGGAGGAGAACCACGTCCTGAACTCTCTGCACCAACACTGGGTTCAGAACGCAGTGAAAACCCAAGTTCTGCTTGGCATGATCCAAGGCCTTCAGAAAACAAACCCAGGTGTGCGTCCATGCTGAAACTACGACTCAAAAACGATTGACTTGTATGTCTGGAATGAAATACTAACATAATGTCTGATGTTTTTCAAAAAAGTAGCTTGTAAAAACCATTGTAAAACAGTTTTTGTTTCTGTTTTCTTAGAGATGACATCTCTGCATTGTTGGCTCATGGAGGGCTCCAGGCAGAGGAAGTACCAGCCTCTTCTGGACCGGCCGCGCTGTGAGAGTTTGGAGTCCAGGATCCAGCACTTCGTGAAGAGAGGAAGACTGGAGCAAGAAGAAGGAGAGAACGGGGAGGAGACGACTGTTTTCAGGGGGAAAAGATCAAAACATTCCCATCTGACAACAACAAACCAAATCCAGGAGCAAAACCATGGAGCAAAAACCGAGGTGCCTATTACAAAACCTTAAAACATACTGTGCAAAATAATATGAATAATATGAATTTAACTTTGTTCTCTTAGCAGCACAATTACTTAATTTTCTGTTTTGCCAAAGAAACTCTTTTATTAAAGGATTGCTCCATGTGTTCTGATCGTGTGTGAATTTGAATTTGAAATGAGATGATATTGCTCATATATATATATATATATATATATATATATATATATATACTACATCAATGGAAACTGATCGTGTGTGAATTTGAATTTGAAATGAGATGATATTGCTCATATATATATATATATATATATATATATATATATATATACTACATCAATGGAAATGTCCTTAAAGTTGGCAATGGCCATTTAGTGTCTTTATATTGTATTGATTAAATTACTGACCTATAGATATTAAATCCATGTGGTTGCATTATTAATGCCACATCTGGACCTAGAATATGTTGGATTTTTTTTTTAATGTCCTGCTTTGTAAATAATTATGTAATATCATATTGTCAACAAAATCAGTTCAATGCAATAAACTGATGCCAAATTGAAATCGGTTTCAGGATCAGTTCAATTAATCTTAAATATTTTACACATTTTAAAATTAACCTTGATAATTGTTCATTTTGATGTCTGATATCCAATTTACTGAAGAAGAAGAAGAGAAAAAAAACTACCGGTCAAAAGTTTGGGATCAGTAAGACTTGTAATGTTTTTTAAAGAAGTATCTTATGCTCATCAAGGCTGCATTTATTTGATAAAAAATACAGGAAAAAAA